TCCGTATCCGCATTTTTCGATTTTCCTGTAATTTACATTTTCAGCCGTTTCGTTTCGGCCGTTTCGTTTCGGTCGTTTCGTTTCGGTTGTTTCGTTTCGGTCGTTTCGTTTGTTTCGTTTCGGTCGTTTCGTTTCGGTCGTTTCGGTGGTTTCGATGGTTTCGGCATGTTCGTTTCGGTCGTTTCGACGTTTCGCCTTTTAGTACATGCCCGCTTAGCGTACCTATTCTTCAGTGGTGACGTCCTTGATGTTTGCTTTGCGCTGTTGCGCATGACAAGAATCTCGCCCGTCACTGAAACCGCCATCTTTAAAATTTTCACACAAAGGCGTAAAGGCAGTCAAAATTTGGAAGGTTGTATTGTTTTGTATGTCTACTAGTTGAGGAAGAGTGCTTGATGTTTATCTCAGCAACACGATGGAAAATGATGATTCCGTTGCAATGGAATCTTCAGCGCAAGCGTTGGTCAGTTTGAGAGGAAATCAACCTTCGCTACGAAACTCACATGGAAACGATGAAACACAAACAGACGATGTCTTGCTCTTGTCTGACAACGGAATGGCCCAAACATCTTTCGGTTCACCCCGACGGAAAGCTAGAAAACCGATAAAATTACAAAATACAACCGTAAAAGGTTCTCCAACTAAAAAAACGGCGATGAGTTTGATGTCTAAATTACGGAATTTGTTGAAGTTACCAAAAGCTTTCAAATGGTGCTATTTCGAATGGTTTTATTCCAGCCTTGATAAATCACTTTTTCTCAGCGATAATGATTTTTGTGTTTGTCTTAAAGAGCATTTCCCAAGCTTAAATGCCAAAAATCTTCGTAGAGTTGAGTGGAGAGAATTGAGAAGATTAATGGGTAAGCCCAGAAGATGTTCACAATCCTTTTTCAGCGAAGAACGAAGTGCTTTAGAAGAGAAAAGGCAGAAAATTCGACTTCTGCAACAGAGGAAAGTTACAGAGTTGGCAAAGTTTAAAGATCTTCCGAAAGAAATCCCTGTACCACTTGTGATTGGTACTAAAGTTTCAGCTCGGTTACATAAACCACAGAGTGGTATATTTACTGGGCAAATTGATGCAGTTGACAGTACAGCATCTACATACAGGGTACGGTTTGATATTCCAGAGCTTGGAACTCATTCTGTTATGGATATCGATGTTCAAAGTAATGAATCCGAAGAGACAATGCCTATTTCTGCATTTGCATTGAAAGAGCGCCCAAAGCTTGCCAATGTTCCCACATTTAATTCGGTTCGGCGAAAGCTGTCTGCCGTTGGGGATCCTTTGCTGAGCAATTCACCCACACGAGTGCAGCTCCAAGAAGTCCTTGACAAGGGAGATCACACTGTCGGTGGGTTTCCTATTAAGTTTCTTGCTCTTGTGACTAGATTGTCGAAAGTATTAACTTTGAAAAGAGAATATGTTGACAAACTGAAACATTTGAATAGTGAAGCTGAGAAGCTCAAGTCGTACCAATTACCGATTGAACGAGATTTTCAGAGGAAATATGCCGAGGTAGTCCTTGAACTGGAGAGACTTAACACAGATTTGAACAATTACTTGAAGGACGTTGAAGAGTATTGTGTAAACATGAATTCCATCCAAGGATCTGATAGTTTGGATCAATCAGATGGATTGCAGAAGTCGTGTGAGAAACATGCTAAGTCAATGGTTGAGCATTTATCTGGTGATGTTGATCATGATGTAGAAAATGGTTCTACTCTTCAATTGATTGCCAGTCTTACAGCTTTGTTGCTTCAAGTGAAGATGCTTGCAGAGAGTGACTTAAATTCATTTGAATTTAAGAGTTTGGTCGACAGTGTGCAAGAGTTAAAGAAGACGGTAGATTCAACTAATGTAAGTTCTTTCCAAAACAATGTAGAAATTCATATTGCACATATTCAATCAGGGCTTAGTCAAATGGGTAACCTTCAAGCATTTTCAACTAACCCATCCTAGGATAGACTGACATTAAAACAAATTTATTAGTAGTTTTTAGTGAAGCCAGTGAGCAAATATAGCTAGTATATAGTATGTTGTGTGCACAGATTTGTAGACAGCTTCTGTGTGTCTAGTAATGTTACTTGGAAATTGAACTGTCTGGTTATTCCTCAAAACATCCACATCTCCTAAACAGAGGAGATGAAAGATTTCCAGTCCTCAATAAGATTTCCAGTCCTCAATCAGACCTGATTATGTAGCTCAGTTGGTAGAGTGTTGGTTGAACTCTGCTAGCATTTCAAATGTCTCGGGTTTGAAAACCCAGCCACGGCAGGCAGAATTTTCTGCATGTGTGGTTTGAACGCATTTACTCGAGAACATTTCATCATATGTGCATGAGGGCCATCCAGTTAGTAAAAACACAAACGTTTTCAAAAATTGTAGCCCCCTCCCCTCGCCCCTTGTTGCATACTAGAGCTGTTCAGTATACCCCATTGAAATTAATAGAACCGGAACGCTACCTCGAACCGGAAATATCCCTATGTCTGAGAAAGATTACTGTATGACATAATAATTCCTTTATTCCAAATATGGTACAAGCAACACTTACTGGCAAAATGGTGCATGACCATAAATGGATATTTATTGTGTGATTTTGCACATACTTTTGTGTGCCCAGCAAGTAGTTTGCACTATATTTTGGAATCTGTGAGGTGAATAAGTGAGGACACAAGCTTCAAAAGTTACCTATGCCAAGTTAGACATCTGTACAGTCTACTTATTTTGTAGAAGCAGAATCAGTACTTAATTAATGCAACCCTCAACATGGACCTGCTCAAATCTTGGTTATCCAATCAAGTTAGGTGCCCAGGCCCATCTTGGCAGTCCTGATGACCACAGCTAGGTTTCCCTTTCAGCTTCTGTGCTCACATATCCTCTGACATGACTAAGAAAGGATTTTCTGGGGGGTGCAGTCTGGGTAAACTGGGTCTCCCCCCTCTAGCTATTACAAGGCAGGTGCTTCAGTAATTTCCTTAAATCCAAGTTTCTCTGCCTCATCAACTCCAACAAAGACCAATGACTATTTTGGGTTGCTTCTCTGATTATTAACGCAACCTTATTTTCAAAAAGTCTCTCTGAAAGGGTTAAAAATCTATTAATCTATGATCTTCCCAGCCTATCACGAGGTTTTTACTTGGATTGTTTTGAAATTTCTTTGCAAAACACCACCCAGCTTTGATTGAGATGTGGATATTTTCTGGAAATAGCCAATTAAATAAATTGTTATCATGATTCTTCTTGTGTATAATTATGTAAAATATTTTATCATTTGAAGTGAGGACTAGCCTCTGTCATCTTTAATAACTGTTTTTAATGAAAAATGATTTTAACCGCTTTTTGGTGTATTACCTGATAATTTTGGCAATTGACTATCATTATTATACATTGTAATTGGTAAAAGCAGTTTGGTTGGCTAATAGCTTACAGTTAAATCGCGCAATCACGCAACCTACAGAAAATTCAGTTATCTGCATGCTAGCAGATAACTGAGTTATCTGCAAATGAGCCTGCGATGATTAGCAAGCAGTATCTATTTAACACAAACAAATGTATAATAAAATAATTCTTGAATTCGGTTTTTGCGATATGCAAAATTATCAAGGTCTCGGTAAGCGTTATCAGCTTCGGCTCGGCTGATAACGCTTACCCTCGACCTTGTATATTCCGCATATCACAAAAACTTCATCCAATAATTGTTAATTATTATACATTGTAGTCACTGCGTGTCTTCTGATTGGCCAGTACCTGTCCGCTAAATATGGGAATCACGCGACCTACTGATAACTCATTTACCTGCTAGCAAATAACTGAGTTATGTGTAGGTTGAGCCCGTGGTATGTAATTTTATAGCACGCGGCGAGGCACGCGGCAGTTTTAAATACACGAATAAAAAACAAGCGAAAACAACATGAACGAACAGAGTTTTTGTGAATTTATTTGTTGCAAAAAGCAGACTTTTTGACATTTTATCTGCAGATGATGAACCTCTATTTTTTTCTGCTTTTCTTTGTATTTTAATTTATGCCACACAAATAATGATGGCAACACACCTTTCCGGGAAATTCATAGCCTCTGCTTTAGCAAATCACGTAAGCCTGGTTTTCGTGATTGCGATCTCGGCTTTAGAGCCTTTTACCGATGACCTAACTATACAAGTATAAAGGTCTTTTAATTTAAGGCCGATTTGCAGAACACAACTTTTGCCTAAAAGTGTCGTATGCAACCTGTTTACAACTTGAGTTGTACTATGTAAATCAAGCAGGCGACAGTTTTTAGGCAAAAGTTTTGAACTGTCTATGCCAGTGTAGGTACAGTAGTGGCAATAATAAGAAAGCTACGGGTTGATAGAGATACAACTACCTGAAAAATACAATGAGTACAAACTACCACATATGTAATTAAGGATGCACCGGATAACATATCCGGCCGGATAGTGAGATATCTCATTATCTGGTATCCGGCCGGATATTGAACTTATACCAGATAGTGTTTAATGTAGGGTCAGGCCTTCTTTTCAGTTTAGAGAATGATGTCACTTCAAATGATTTCACTTCAAATGATTTGTGTGAGTGTAGCTTTTGCAACCATGCATGTTTACTGACATTAGACTGGAGTTGTTTCCCATTATTTCAAGTCAAAATATTCTAAACACCTTCACTTTTTAACCAATTAAAATGATGTTATTTAACCTTAAATGAGGCCCAAGCCTCATATGAAAAATATCCGTTGGCCGGATAGCAAAAAGCTCTATTCGGTGCACCCCTACATGTACACGGCAAAAAACGCTCAGGTTGTTGCAATCCTGTTGAGCAGCGGGCTCGGCGTTTTTTGCCGTGTAATAATTAATTGGCATCATTCTCTCACAACGACAACTGCTTGTTTACGAGGAACTATATCTTTCCTACCTGAGGGATAAATACAAACACTTTCCTACTACCGATATACAGGCAATGGAGTTTCTGCCTCGTACCCAGACGCTTTAAATAATTATAATACATGAAGTATACAGGCAGATAGGCGACGCGCGAAGGGGCTGTTCGCCCTTCTGTCGTCACAATTAACAATACTTCATGTAAACTTGGCATACGCGCATCGCTGTTTTTTTCACAAAGAGACGCATGGGTACGAGGCAGATCGAGTTTTGAAACTCAATCTTTCTGCGTAATTATATTTCTGACAATATACTTTCAACAAATTGTGGCAAGCGTAAATAATTAATTGTAAATGTTTTGTAACGGTTATAGTACTTTATACCTGTTTCAAAATTGCTGTCTGAATGAACACCGCGGTCTAACGTGAAACGCATGCGCGAGTATACGAGAGTGGCGCGAAAAATGTCTGCCAAGAAATATGAGTAAACACGTACAGGAAAAGAAAAGCGTTTACTATAACGCTGATGATGAGGTAGGGAACTTTACCGATTTTTCCTTGTGTCAAGACAAAATAATACTGCATGAGTTTAAACCATAGGTTTAAACCCTCACAATTTTCTTAAACTTTTTGCTAGAGCTTTCATTCTCGTCCACAGAGCCATTTTCACTCGGTCACTCGTTGAAAATTATGCTCTGGATTAGACGTCTAAAGAGAGAGATCTGATTAGCTTCCCAGCTTCCGCTAGGCAAAATTATTTTATCAACATATGTCAATTGTTACGGGTGCTAAAGCGTCCCAATTCAAGAGCATGCGGTTTAGTAACCTGAAGTTCAGGCCCTATCACAGCGGTTTAGAGACTACTGCAAGTTTTCTTGCACTTCCGGTTCCGTGTGCCCTGGGGAGGACGCGAGGGGTCCTGGGGACGAGGATGCTCGAAGACAATACTAGGGCTATTCCCAGTCTTTCGAAAACAAATTAAACAGTCAATACGCGGACGTTTGACTGTGATGTTGTCTGAATGCGGAAATGTTATTTCGTAGAGATTAAATCGAGATAATTTTTTCAGGCAGTTGCATCATCCTAGCTTACACCAGGTGGGGGGGGGGGGGGGATTGTAGAGGCAGGGCTCTTCCGGCTCCCACTAAAACTCTATAAATCCATGAACTTTTTCATCGAACACTAGTATTATATTCGATCAATTGATGTGGTTTTCTAATTATTTATGGTTTGTGTTGACATTCTCCCCTCGTTGATTTCTTTTCATGAAAGAACGGAGGGCCTTTTCTCGAAACATCCAAGTTCGACCTTAATTCTCAGGCAGTTGCATCATACTAATACCGGCCCCAAACCACAGAATAAGGTACACAGAAGGCCGACTTCTTGGTTTTTCCTATGATTTTTGGCGTAACCAGTAATTCGTTATCAAATGCTGACGCCATGGTCCTAGCCAGTGCGCGTTTGAGAGGCATTCACCTCCCTGATAATATTCAAAATGGTGGACGTCCAGGAGGGGAATACCTCTCAAACGCGCACTGACTAGGACCATGGCGTCGGCATTTTGATGATGAATCATGGCGTGGCAGCGGTTATACTCGAGCCGACCTTCTGTGTGCCTTATTCTGTGCCCAAACACTCATATTTTACTACAGCATTTCTCTATATTGTCCTCCCTTCTAATTAATATTAAGCGTCCAGAAGTGTTCAAAGAATGAGCCCGGACCCTCTATTGATTAAATTAATTTTAATATATAGACTTATAGCGGAAATGAACACTGACATTTCATAAGAAATTCCATTTAATCGAAAGCAATAATCAGGGTTCGTACAAAACTTTGAAAGTCTTTGAATTTGAAAACACAAGTTGAAGCCTTGGAAGTCCAGAATTTATAAAGAAGCGCCTGAAAGTCCTTAAATTTTTCATCTTTAGTTTTTTGGGTATTTTCTGAAATTATTTGACATAATTAAAACACGCAGAGATGTCAAATTAATTTTGTTCATATCACAAAGCTGTTTGAAATTCATTAAAGTTACACTTTGAATATTTTGACGTCACTTTTTACTGATTTCTAACGCCTTCTTTACAGCCCTTTAGTCCTTGAACTTCCTGAATTAAGTCCTTGAATAGTCCTTGAATTCTACACTTCCTAACTTGTACGAACCCTGGTTAGAATAATATGTTGGAGTTGGTTGAATTCATGTGTAGGAGTCAGTATGAATATACGGTATATGCGCTGATAAGACTGAATAACGATGCACTTTATTAGCCTCCAGCCTCTATTTTAAAAGTTGCCTCCTCTTCAATAACCCCCAGTCCAGAATTACTGTTAAAATATGACCCCAGGGGGCTAAATAGAAGAAAAACGGTAACTCAAGTACAGAATCCAGTTCGTAATTTACCCCATGCACTCCAGTTTGTAATTCCGGTCAAGAGCCTAGTCTGTATTTTGGTAATGGTGTTCAGTTTGACCATAGTTAAAAGCAGGGATAAGAGAAATGGCTCGACACTTGGAATAACTCGAATTTTCCCGTGTAACGCCTGTTAACATAGCCCGCGTTTTATCAACATATCATCGGTAAGTTCGTCATTCCGCCAATCTGTCCTATCCACACCCCCGCAAAAAAGCAGCAAAAACGCAAACCAGACAGTCCAAGCACTGGGTACGACAATAAACCCCTTATTTAGTAATTGGACCTCCCCTCATTCTTTTCCTTCTTCTTCAAGGTAATGGCGGTGTATTTTTCAACACGTGCATGTTTTATATAGAAAATGCCTTCGTATCAGTGAAAATTTTACCTGTAAGAACAATTTTTAATATTTTTAGATGTCTTCCGGACACGGTCACGGAGTTACAGTAAAAGATGTGAACCCACACGACTTCGTAAAGGCTTTTTCAGCTCATTTAAAAAGGTCAATATATTAAAAGTTGAAATGTTTTTGTATTTTTCTATCAGTTCGCTGTAATTTACAGATGAAAGGCTTAAAAATCAACCGTTTTTTATTAAAGAGTTAATGGAATCATGAAATTAACATCCTTTATAAATTAATTTAAATATATGATCAAAACTGATCAAAATGTGGTCAACCAGACAGAAACTTATTTTATAGTGTTTTATGATTGATCTGAGCTCCCGAGTGGACAGTTTGGAAATTGTACACCTAAAGGCCCATTTACATGATATGACTAGTTGTATACGATTGTCATTCTGGCGTATGAAAATTTATGACTGCTAATCCCACGGTTCCGTTAATTCATTATTTCATGGCAAAACTTGAATTGTGACATCTTTACAAGCATTTATGCCAGTACATATACCAGGATCTATGAATACTGTACGACTAGTTGTATTGTGTAAACAGGCTCTAATATTCGAAAATTTAGTAGATAAAATGAAACCTATTGCTTTTGCATTACAAACTTTCCACAGGAAGTGGCCTGGTTTGTTCCAGTGTGCGCAATGCAA